ACTTGAACATGGGGTGTGCAATATATAGATACTTGGGGCTTGTCCAGATATCTTTCTGTTGTCTATTTCTGATATAATCCTTTTATGGTCTAAGATCATACTTTCTGTGATTTTAATTCTTTTAAATCAGTTGAAGTTTGTTTTATGGAATATCTTGGTAAATATTCCACGTGTACTTTGTAAAGAATGTGCATTTGGATGTCATTGTTTGGAGTGCTCTAGAAACTCAATTAGGTCAAGATGGTTGATAGTGTTACACAGGTCCACTAAATCTTTACTGATTCTCTTCTTATGTGTTCTATTGATTAGCAACACCATGTGCTAAGGGATGGGGCTGGGGTGCCAGAAAGATTTTTCTGTGTCTTTTCTCTCCCCTCAGTTTTCCCGTGTGCCCACTCCACAGAGGGAGCCTCTTCCTTCCCATTGTCTTGCCTCTCCCCCAGTGCAGACTGCTGTTGCTTGTTCCGTGGTGCTTGCCAGCCTGGTGGTGGGTGTGGGAGGGTGAGACTGGGGTTCTCTGTTGTCTGGACTCAGCCCCAGCCTTGGGCAGGCACTGGTCTCGGTGTTGTGCAGGTGGGGCTTTCCCAGTAATCTTACCCTTCCCCCAGTAACAGGGGACCCTAATGGTTAGGCCCAGGACTGCATCTTGTCCCTCCTCTGGGAGTGGAGACTTTGGTCTTTTTCTTTCCTCCAGTTGGGGTGTGTCTTCACTTATTCTCTAGAGGCCACAGGTCTGCTGCCCTTCCCCCAGTGGCTTAATGCCTGTCCTTGCGAGAAAGATAGGAGTGTGGTCTCATGCCCTTCCTAAAGCCATGTCCACTCCTTTCTTCCAGCTCTCAGCCATGGAGGAAGGTTTTCTCTGGCCTCCTACCTTGCCCCAAATCTTTTCCGAGTGCCTGGTGGAGGTTTACAGAGAAGAGCTTCTGAGCGGTGTGGTAGCTTCCTGACGTCTGCAGCTCGGGGGGGGATCTGTGGTCTTGTGCTAGCCGCACGTGGCCTTTGTGATTCTTCCACCACTTTAGCTGGATGCTCCTTCTTGACTTGTACGGTGGCCCGGTCTTCCTCCGGCACTCTGTGCAGGTGAGCTGGTGCCCATGTCCTGTCTAGCCTCGGAGGAGCCTGTCTTGCCCTAGATTTCATGTTAATTCTTGTGACATGGGTTTTTTTTCCGATGGGTTCAAGAAAAGTCATGATTTTGTAGATTTTCTGTTTTTTTTCTTCCTTGTTGTTAAGGCAGAGGAGACACTCTTTTAGTTTTCTACATTCTAGGTGGAAGGCAGAAGTCAAAGTATATTTTTAGATGATTCACTTTTATCCTGAATCACTTTGGGTTCTTTTCAAAAACTGTCCGTATTTATCCTTCATGGATGAAAACTTATTACCATCAAAATGATTCTCAAAATGTGCCTCAAGATCTGTGGGACATTCCCAAAGCACAATTCCAAACACGTGTTCAGTAATGAGCACCAGTTGATAACTGCTTCGTTTCTCAAGATGAGTACTCCCAGCGAGGACACTCCTTTGAATGTTTCAGCTCTTCTTCTTCTTCTTTTTTTTTTTTTAATTTATTCATTTAAGTAGTCTCTACACCCAGCGTGGGGCTCGAACTCACTATCCAGAGATCAAGAGTCACAAGCTCTTCTCACTGAGCCAGCCAGGTGCCCTGAATGTTCCAGTTCCAATGGTTCTTTACAACCTCATTACTGCCTGGTTATAGGAAACCTGAAACATCTCATCCCCTAGATCTCAGGAAAATTAATTAACTTCTCCAAACCTCAGTTTCCTCGTCTGTAAAAATGGCGATAATAATTGTTTCCATATCACAGGATTATAGTGAGTGTATAAAGAACTGAGCACAGTCTAATAAGACGTGCTGAGCAAATGTTACATTTACTGTTACGTGACGCTAAAAATAAGTATTTATCGTTTTACTTAAGAGAGAACGACCATACATTATGTTGCCCTTGTAAAATCATTAATAACACCCCCTTTCCAAAGCGTCCTGGTTTGGACAATAAATTGAGTATCACCCTCCCGAGATCACACAGCTGGTGAGTTGGGATAGTCAGGATTTGAGCACAGGTCACTCTGAGTCAGGACTGTGGGAACCACAAGGTTAAAAGCGAGAAGACTCTCTAGGGCAGAAGCCAGGAATTCTTTTTTTCTCCAGCCTTCTGCACAGGCGTCATTCCAGGATGTTCCCCAGACCAGGAATAAAGCATCCAGTATACTCTGCGTGCAGAAGGCCTCCCTCTCTCCTTATCGACTTCCTGTCTTACCCTGTGTTGTTTGGGTTTATTTCTCGTTCCTTGCGCTTTCTAATCTGCATAGCCCTTATTTTGATCCTTTTACAATATTCTCATTCTAGGATTTCACAGTTGGCATTTAAGGGCAATTTTGCTTCAGTTCAGAGAAGCTCCCTTGAACTTTATAACATTAACAACAACAACAACAACAAAAAACCCAGTTAAGATCTGCATTTTAGCCTAGAAACTTCAGATCAATGTAGGGGCTCCAGGAAACCAGGCAGGGGTTCCTCTGCGGGAGTGACAAAAGGCGGGTGGTTGACCTCTCTGGTGTGGCTTTCTCAGTGTCCTCTCCCCTTTGTCTTGGGAACAGAGTGGGGATCTTACCCTGCAAAGGCACATCCCTCCTCTGTCAGGAATGGAGCTGTGACTCAGACCTGGTCCATCAGTGACTGCAGGACCTAGCCGAGGGCCTAGGGACACCACCTGAGCCAGTAGAATTCATTCCAGGGCTTTCCTTAAGGTGTTGGGATCGAGACGTTCTCTTTCATCCGGGGTGGTTAAGTGGCCCGTGGGGGTGGGGGGTGGGAGGGCGGGGAGTGGAAGCTTGGAGCTGCTGGTGTCCTCTTCGCTGCTTCACGGAGATTTGGAAGCCAGATGCCACCACAGAGGAAATGAGAGCCGAAGGGGGAGAGAGATTCCTGATGAGGTATGGTCCTGCCCCCTTGTCACTGGAAGAGTCCAGATTACTACAAGTCATTCTCTAGGGACCTTAGTGACAGTAGAGTAATGACAGGCATAACAATGTCTGATGGGCATTGTCAAAATAGATCTACTAGTAACACCAGCTGCTGTTTATCGAACGCCTCTTGTGATAGACTGATTGCTCTGTTAATAACCTCCCTGCGTCTTGCCCTCTGAATGTGCCTTTTGCAGCACCTGCTAGCAATCTTTCCCCGCTTCTTGAATCTGAGCTGGCTTATGACTTACTTTGTACAGAAGTAGGGGGCCGAAGGGACAGGGTGCCAGTTCTAAGCCTAAGTCACTGCCGTGGGAAAAAGCTGGACAATGAGAGACCACAGCCAGTCAACTCACGTGGGCAGAGCCACTAGCCACCACACCCCTGACCACAGATGCCTGAGGGAGCCCGACAGAGGCCCCGAAGAACCACACAACTGAGCCTCGCCTAAATGACAGGCCTGCAGAATTGTGGGCTAAATAAATGGTGGTTGTCTTAAGCTACTAACTTTTGGGGTGATCTGTTTCCTAGCAGATCTGTTTCCTGGCTTTGGAGACAGACAAGTCTGATTTTGAGTCATGGCTCGATAGCCTCCCAGCTGTGTGACCTTGGGCAAGGTTTTTAACTGCCCCTGTTCAGATTTCTCATCTGTAAAATGGGTACAATGATAGTTACGGAATTTTGTTAAAGTAAATGGGATAATGCTTATGATGTATTAGCACAGTGCCTCTGGTGCACAATAAATCCTTAAACTCATGATCTATCCTAGGAGCTAGCAGCTGTTTGCCCATTTTCCAGATGAGGAGGCAGAGGCTCAGAAGGCTAACCTGATGATAATAGTGACCAAATATGGAGGGTCCACTGTGGCCTGAGATGGCTGTAAGCTACATCTTCCAGAATTAGAGTCACAGGATCTGTAGGTGCAGCACAGCCCAGGTGATCCCAGGTGAACAGACAGTCTGGTTGGGGTCAGGGTGGGGAGAAGAGCCCACGTTCTCACCTCCTGGAGCGGGCATGATGACTGGGCCTTCAGCGCATCCAGTGTTCTCTCAGGGAGGAGCTAAGCATGAGAACCGGAGAGCAGGAGAAGGTCAAGAAGATTCCAGGGAGGTGCCGCTTCATCTTCATCTCAGCTTTTAGGGAATGCTGACAGGGAAGGGGCCTTGACAGGTGTAATTCCCCAGTCACTTTTGCATTCTGCTTCCCACAATTGGGTCATCTGCTGCCGAGCCCCACGGGACACCTTGTCTAGACTCTCTCCCCGCCCCAGTCCAGACAAAGCCAGAACAGTGAATCATAGAATAAATAGGTCTTGGACTCTATGTTCTTCCAAAAGCCAGAACAATTCCATCCCAATTCTGACCACCAAAATTATACTTACACTCATGTACTTATATGGGACTTCTACCTCCTATCCCATTTCCCCTTCCCTCCCCCTTCTCTCATTACACGTGCACACACATGTCCACATGTGCACACTGGCATGATCTTCTACCAGAGTAGTATTTAGATTTAGGGTTTTCATCGTATATTTTATTTTTCTCTATATTATTTCTCACCGCCTGACATATTTTCTATTTGTTTATTATCTATCTTCTCGCACTATTATATAAGCTCCAAGAGGGATGATTTGTTCCTGATATAGCCTCAGTGCCTAGAACAGTGCCCAACACAGGGTGGGTACTAAAAAAATACTTGTTGCATGAGTGAATGAATGAGTGAATGAATGAATGAATGAAGTAGGTGGGGTGTTTGAGCGGGATTCAGTTTTGGGGAGGAGTGGCTGATGAGTGGAGAGTTAACATCTTGTGATTTCAAAGCACCTTTAACTTTTCAAATCATTCTATGGATGGTAATCTCACGGATGCTCACAACCTCTTAGGAAGTACTCAGACTGTGAAGTTGTTCCCACATGACAGATGAAGAAATTGAGACCCAGGCAGGCCGAGTGTCTAAGATTCTAGAATCTGTTAGTGGAAAGCAAAGACTAATTTCCATGTTCTCCTGGAGTGGAGATGAAGAGCCAGAGCATACAGATGGGAAGTGAAGGTGAAAACAGAAGCAGTTGATAAATGTACCACCATTTTTATTTTGTTGGTCATTTTTGTCCTGATCCCTCTCTTGCAGGCAAATACCAAGCCCCAAACTAACTTGCTCACAAGCCAAAGGTGGACCCTGTTGTCCAAAATGGGTTTTTTTTGCACAAGACTTAAGAAGAGATTGTCTTCTGTCTGTGCTGTCACACAAATCAAGGTGATGTGTTTTGCTTTCTAGTAAACTCTTGGAATAATGACAACACCAGATTTCTATTTAATTTTTCATATTTGAACAACTTTGAATGAAGTTTATTGACTTAAGCTATTTTTAGAAACACTATGAAGAATGTTCTTTCCGCCTTTCCTTGCCTTTGATGTTAAACCAAACTTCTTCCCTCCTCTACTTTCTTCATTAAGGATTAGTTTCAATCTCCACCGAAGTATTTATGGGAGCCTCAGCAGGAAGTGGGGAGTGGTGTTCTGACAATGTGGGGCCAGAGCATGGAGCTGACTGGGGCCTCTGCAAACTGGTTATGTGCCTAAGAACTTTTTAAAGAAAGCATACAGACCGACATACCGTGTTTCCTTCAGTTGACAATGTGCTAACACCTGTGGGTTCTTTAGGAACTGGGATATGGGAACTTTCTCTGTTTCCTTAGTGACATCCCACATCCATCTCTTCGATCCAAGGCTTAACTGTCTACCTGGAGAGCAGTGAGGTTTATCATGATGCTTGGATTATTTCGATTCAATTCAGTTCCTGTTGAGCAAAACGTGAAGGAGCACTCTAATTTGGCCAAGGAATAAGTTATTTAGAACAGTTAAATAACAGGGGCGCTGGGTGGCTCAGTTGTTAAGCGTCTGCCTTCGGCTCAGGTCATGGTCCCAGGGTCCTGGGATCGAGCCCCGCATCGGGCTCCCTGCTCCGTGAGAAGCCTGCTTCTCCCTCTTCCACTCCCACTGCTTGTGTTCCCTCTCTCGCTGTGTCTCTCTCTGTCAAATAAATAAAATCTTTAAAAAAAAAAAGAACAGTTAAATAACAAAACAATGTGGTCTGTACCGCCCTTGCCCTCAGTAATAATTCTCAATGCTTAAAGTCCTGCCTGACTTATGTATGTTAGGGGTTTGATGAATTTTTGTGGAATGAATGAAGGAAGGTGCTCAAGGCCAAGGGGCAGTACCCCATTTCAGGCCTTCTTAATGTGTCCCTGGGCCACCGCAATATTTTCCCAATGACATCCCAACCTCTTACCCTCTCCCACCCCCATCTAGTCTCCGCCTTACTGCCGCTGTGATCTTTATGAATTGAAAGTGTGCTTGTGTCATGCCCAAGCCTAAAACAAGCCTTATGGCAAGTGTAAAATACTTTAGCATTCCTCCATGACTCTTTAGTGCCGTCAGGATAAAGTTTATTATGTCATTCACTTATTCACTGAACTGGAGGCCTCCCAAGGCTGTTTTATGAATTGTGCTTGAATATCTCTAGTGACGGGGATCTTACTATGCACTCATCACATATTTAGGCAATTCTTTGGATGAAAGAGCCAGGACTGGACACTAGAACTCCTGTGTATTAGAGTTCTCCAGAGAAACAGAACCAACAGGTGATAGATAGATAGATAGATAGATAGATAGATAGATAGATAGATAGATAGATGCACTCATCACATATTTAGGCAATTCTGTAGATGAAAGAGCCAGGACTGGACACTAGAACTCCTGTGTATTAGAGTTCTCCAGAGAAACAGAACCAACAGGTACATAGATAGATAGATAGATGATAGATAGATAGATAGATAGATAGATAGATAGATAGATAGATAGATAGATGCACTCATCACATATTTAGGCAATTCTGTAGATGAAAGAGCCAGGACTGGACACTAGAACTCCTGTGTATTAGAGTTCTCCAGAGAAACAGAACCAACAGGTACATAGATAGATAGATAGATGATAGATAGATAGATAGATAGATAGATAGATAGATAGATAGATGCACTCATCACATATTTAGGCAATTCTGTAGATGAAAGAGCCAGGACTGGACACTAGAACTCCTGTGTATTAGAGTTCTCCAGAGAAACAGAACCAACAGGTACATAGATAGATGATAGATAGATAGATGATAGATAGATAGATAGATAGATAGATAGATAGATAGATAGATGATAGATAGATAGATAATATTTATTAAAGGAACTGGTCATGCAGTATGGAGGCCAAGAAATCCTACAATCTCCTGTAAGCCAGAGAGCCAGGAAAGTCAGTGGTATAACTCAGTCTGAGTATAAAGGCCAAAAACTGGAAGCACCACTGTCCACAGGCAGGAAGAGATGAATGCCTCCGCTCAGGCAGAGAACAAATTCCCTCTTCCGCTGCCTTTTTGTTCTATTCTGGCCCTCAGTGTATTGGATGATGCCCACTCATATGGAGGAGGGCCATCTGCTTTTTACTCAGTTCACCAACTCAAATGCAAATCTCTTCCAGAAACACCCTCACAGGCACACCCAGAAATAATGTCTCACCAGCTCTCTAGGCATCCCTGAGCCCAGTCAAGTCAACAACAAAATTAACTGCCATGTCCTGGATCTCTTTCCAGTACTATACCCGTTCTATCAGGCTGCTGCTCAGTTCTTTTGAGGAACGCTAAGTTGCTGAGGAGTGAAAGGAACCTACTTCCCTGGGGAAAGAGGCTGAGAAAACTCAGGAGGAGGAGAGGGAAGATCTTCAGGCTCAGAATGGGAGCCCCTTGTAATCTCTGATTCAGCTGGGGCATGGTTTTCCTAAAGGAGGAGAGAGACAAGGGGAGGGAGGAAAAAGAAATTAGAACAGAAACCCCATGTAAATAATTCCTTTACTAATAGTGCCTTAGCATGTAAGGAAGGACATGGTCCTAGTACTGTCTTAGCAAACTGTTTTGGGTGGTACCCTGAGGAGGAAGCCTCTTACATTTTCTAGAGTGGGAGGATAGGGAAGGTCCTCAGGCACACCCCTCCATCAGGGCCAGGGCTGGCTGGGGACATGGCTTTGTTTCCTGGTGGCTAAAGAGAGCCAGACCTTTGTTAACCTTGGAAGGAGGAGAAATCTGTTCTTGCCATGTCTACTTTCATTTATTTATTTGCTTGTTCATTTAACAACTGTTTACTAAGCATCTATTATATGATATGTACTTGTCTATCCTCTTTAGCACAGGGTAACTTGATGCTTTCCTTTATCATCCCAAAGCTGGTAGCACCCATTCTTTTCTGGGTCTCTGGACTCATACAGTAGAAGTAACAAGCTTGGTGTAACAAGCTAGCCTAAAACTTAGTGACTTAAAACAAATGTTTATTGTTATCACCTCATGATCTTGTGAGTTGACTATGCTTAGCTGGGTCATTCTCATTTAAAGTCTCTTAGGAATTTGCAGTCAAATGGCAGCTGGGCCTGGAGTCATCTGAAGGCTTGAATGAGCTACCATCCAAGATGGCTCACTTGCATGGCTGGCAGTAGATGCTGTGGGCTGGGAGCTCACATGAGGCTGTTGACTGTAGAGTCCACATGTGCCCTTTGTTTGTCTTGGACTTCTTACAGTATAGTGGTGGCAGGCTTCCCAGGGGAAGCATCCCAAGAGCAAGAATTAAAAGAATTCCGGGCGGAAGCTGAAAGTCTTCTGACTTTGCTCAGAAGTCCCAGAATATCAGGTCTGCTGTAATCTCTTGTCAAGGATCACTAAAGACAGCCCATTTTCAAGGGGAGCAGACTAGACTCTGCCTCTTCCTGGGAGGCACAATATGATAGTAAAGGGAGGGCAGAATTGTCTGGGGCCATCATCCAAGACTAACTACCACAGTTTGCCTTCAGGCTCCAACAATTCAGTCCTGGCCATATGTGTCGGTACTTTCCCTCCTTCTAATGATTCAAAAGTTTTATCCCATTCCAGCATTAGCTCCATTTCTTTTCTAAATCAGGCCCACGTATAAATGAAGCTCCTCAGTTGTTATCAGAGCCTAAGTGACCTGGAGGAAGGGAGATACCTAACTCTGGCCTATTCTGGCCACCCTGTCTCACCTAAAGGGGGAGGAAAAAAAACCTGAGAGATGCTTGTGAAGCTCATAGTCCAGAGGCACAGACTCACTAAAAGACTGAAACCTAATTATAGGACTAGAGAATGCTTTCCTACCCCCCACCCCCACCACACCTCACCACAATGTTACTAAAGGCCTATTTATAGCAGTTCCTTTTATCCGGTACATCATGTCTGGCTATTAAGAAAAAATTGCAAGGCATACTAAAAAGCAAAAAACACAATTTGAAGAGACAGAGCAAGTATCAGAACAAGATATGACAGGGATGTTGGAATGCAAAACAGCTATGATGAATGTGCTAAGGTTGCTAATGGATGAAGTAGGTAGCATGCAAGAACAGATGGACAATGCAAGCAGAGAGATGGAAATCCTGAGAAAACCAAAAGAAACATCAGAGGTCAAAAACACTGTAATAGATGGGGCACCTGGCTGGTTCACTCAGAAGAGCATGTGACTCTTGATCTCAGCGTTGTGAGTTCAAGCCCCACGTTGGGTATAGAGATTACTTAAGGAAATAAATAAACTTAAAAAAAACCCCACTGTAGGGCACCTGAGTGGCTCAGTTGGTTAAGCGACTGCCTTCGGCTCAGGTCATGATCCTGGAGTCCCGGGATCGAGTCCCGCATCGGGCTCCCTACTCAGCAGGGAGTCTGCTTCTCCCTCTCCCACTCCCCGTTTGTGTTCCCTCTCTCGCTGTGTCTTTCTCTGTCAAATAAATAAATAAAATCTTTATTAAAAAAAACCCCACTGTAATAGAAATGAAAAATACTTGATGAGCTTATTAATAGACTGGACATGACTGAGGAGAGAATCTTTGAGCATGAGGATATGTCAATAGAATTCCCAAAACTGAAAAGCAAAGAGTACAAAGACAAAAAAAAAGAACAGGATATCCAAGGGTTGTGGGACAATTGCAAAAGCATAAATATCATGGGAATACCACAAGGAGAAGAAAGAGAGAAAGGAAGAGAAGAAATATTTGAAACAATAATGACTGGGAATTTTCCCAAGTTAATGTCAGATACCAAACCACAGATCCAGGAAACTCAGGGAACACCAAGCGGAGTAAATGCCATGAAACCACATCTAGGCATATCACTGTCAAACTACAGAAAGTCAAAGAAAAAATCCTGAAAGAAGTCAAAGGAAAAAAAAAACACCTTAATGACAATTACATCTGACCTCTCAGAAACAATGCAAATAAGAAGAGAAAGGAGTGAAATATTTAAAGTGGTGAGAGAAAAAAACCCGCCAATCTAGAATTCTGTACCTTGCAAAATTCTTTTTCAAAAGTGAAGGATAAATACACTTTCTCATACAAACAAAAGTTGAGGGGATTTGTTGCCAATAGATCCTCCTTGCAAGAAATGTTAAAAGAAGTTCTTTAGAGAGAAGGAAAGTGATACAGGTTAGAAACTTGGATCTGCAAAAGAAAGGAAGAGCAAAGAAGGAATTGGGAAGGTAAAATAAAAACTAATTTTTCAGGCACCTGGGTGGCTCAGTTGGTTAAGCATCTGCCTTTGGCTCAGGTTATGATCCCACGGTCCTGGGATGGAGCCCAGCATCAGACTCCCTGCTCAAAGGGGAGTCTGCTTCTCCCTCTTCTTTTGCCTGCTGCCCCTCCTGCTTGTGGGCATGCATGCGTGCTCCCTCTTTCTCTCTCTCTGTCAAATAAATACATAAAATTAAAAAAAAAAACTTTAATTTTTCTTATTCTTAATTGACCTAACACATAACGGTTTGCTCAAAATAATAACAGTCATAATGTATGTGATTATGTATGCTTTGTGTGTGTGTTTATATATGTATATATAAATATACAAAAGTGAATATATACAAATAAGTGTACACGTGTGTATATATATATACACACACTCACTTTTGTATACTTATTTGTAAGTGAAATGAATGACAGCAATAATACTAGGGATGAGAGGGAGGAATTAGAATTATTTTGTTATTATAAGGTAGATTTGAATTAATCGTAAGTCGTACTTTGAATTTGAAAGTAGATTTGAATTAGTTATAAATGTATATTGCAAACTCTAGGGCAACTACTAAAAAAAGTAAACACAAAAGCATAACTGATAGGCTAAGAAATGATAGGAAATGAAATCATACAAATGGTCAATTCACACGTGAAAAAAATGAATTTAGACACAGACCTTATACCTGTCACAAAAATTAATTAAAAAGGATTCATAGACTGGAATGTAAAATGCAAAACTATACAATCTCTTGAAGAGAACACAGGAGAAAACCTAGATGACCTTGGATTTGGCAATGATTCTTTAGATACAACACCAAATACAATCCATTACAAAAAGAACTGATAAACTGGACTTCCTTGGTATCAAAAACTTCTGCTCTGCAAAAGACAGTGTCAAGAGAATGAGCATATAAGCCACAGACTGGGAGAAAGTATTTGCAAAAGACACATGTGATCAAGGACTCTGATCCAAACTATACAGAGAACTCTTAAAACCGCAATAAAAAAAACAACCTGATTGCAAAATGGGCCGAAGATCTTAACAGACACCTCACCAAAAAAGATACACAGATGGTAAATAAGCACATGAAAAGATGCTCCACATCATATGTCATCAGGGAAACGCAAATGAAAAAAATGAGTTCCCGCTACACACCTATTAGAACGGCCCAAATCCAGAACACTGAGAACACCAGATGCTGGCAAAGGATGTGCAGCAAGGGAGACTCTCCTTTATTGCTGGTGAGGATGAAAAATGGTACAGTCACTATGGAAAACAGTCTGGCAGTTTCTTACAAAACTAAACCCACTCTTAACCATACGATCCGGCCATCTTACTTCTTTCTGTTTACCCAAAGGAGTTGAAAAGTTATGTCTACACAAAACCTGTACGATGGTGTTTATAGCAGCTTTATTCATAACTGCCCAAACTTGGAAGCAGCCAAGGTGTCCTTCAGTAGGTGACTGGATAAGTAATCTGTGGTACATCCACACAATGGAACGTTATTCAGTGCTGGAAAGAAGAGAGCTGTCAAGCCATGGAAAGATACGAAGAAATCTTAAATGCACATTCCTGTGTAAGAGAAGCCAATCCGAAAGGCTACAGACTATAGGATGCCAACTCTGTGACAGCTGGGAAAAGCAAAATTATAGGCATTAAAACAGGAAAAATCCCGGTGGTTGCCCAGAGTCGGGGGCAGGGGATGAATCCACGGAGCACAGAGGAATTTTAGGGCAGGGAAACTATTCTGTAGGATACTAGAAGGGTGGATACATGTCACAATACATTTGTTAAAACCCATAGCATGTACCTAGAGTGAACCCTCCTGTAAGGGATGGACTTGGGTGTTAATGACGTGTCCATGTAGGTTCGTTATTATGACAAAGGTCCCACGCTGATGGGGGTGTTATCGCAGGGGAGGCTGTGCATATTGGGGGCAGGGATCCATGGGAACTCTCTGTACCTTCCACTCCATTTTGCTGTGAACCTAACACTGCTCTAAAAAATAAAGTCTTTAAAGAGAGAGAGAAATTTTTGTTTTTAAGTTTCTTTTTAGTTCATTTTTCTCTTTTCTCTCTCCGCAGATACCTTGTCAAAAGCTGGCACTTGCAACCCGCACTCAGCAAACCTTCGTAGTCGAACCCAGCAGTGCATGAAGTACTTTTCTATGTAATGTCACCGAAGGTCCCAGTGTCGCCGACTTCCCACTCCTGCCCGAGCGGTGGAAGAGCCCCTTCTCTGTGCCCTGCCCCCCTGTCTGTCAAGCCTTCACCCACAGATTCCTCTGAGCCTTTCCGGCTTCTGCCTCTTCCCTTGTCCCAAAGCCAATGCCAATTTGAGATTAAACTTTTAGATGAAAAAAAGAACACCACAGCAGCCCACTTCGGGCACCAAGGTCTACTTATTTAACCATGGCAGCATAACAAACCTCTCCCCAGACGTGGTGGCTGAAGCAACTTCCTCTCGCGTCTCCCGACTCCCCTGGCCGACTGGTTCAGCTGGGTGGTTCTCACTCGGGATTTCTCCTGTGCTTGCATTCGGATGGTGCCTGGGGCTGAAGGCTTCACGGGGCTGGAGGTTCAAGATGACTGACTCACACGGCGGCCAGTTGGCTTTGAGCTCAGCGGGGCTGGTGAGTAGACGGCCCACATGGCTTCTTATGGCTTGGGCTTCTGGGCCACGACAGCTGCTTTCTGAGGGGGAGGGTTCCAAAAGTGAGTGTCCCAAGAGACCGAGGCTTCTGAGAATCTGGCCTTGGCTGTCCCAGAATATCAATCCCACCTAACTCTATTGGCCAAGCAGGTTGCTAAAGTTGTCCTCCCGATTTAAGGTCAGGAAAATTAGACTCCACCTTTTGATCTGAGGTAGAACATGTATGGATCAGAGGGCTGGAATTATTTGGGATCATCTTTGGAAATTAACCAATACAGATTTTTTCTTCCTTCCGCCCCACTCCCCCCAGGGAAGCTCCAGTTTTCCCCAAGTCCTGGCCGTGTGCAAATTCACACTAAGGTGTTAATGGCTGGCTACTAGATTAATGTGCCCTGCTGGTGTATCAGTCAGGATGGACTAGATTGTACTATCATTACAAACCACACCAAAATCTTGGGGGCTAATACCACAAAGCTCTTCCTTCCTTCCTTCCTTCCTTCCTTCCTTCCTTCCTTCCTTTCTTTCTTTCTTTCTTTCTTTCTTTCAGAGGGAGAGAGGGCAGGGGGAGGGGCAGAGGGAGAGAGAGAGAAAATCTTAAGCAGACTCCATGCCCAGCGTGGAGCCCAGTACAGGGCTCAAACTCACAACCCTGCAATCATGACCTGAGCCTAAGTCAAGAGTTGGATACGGAACCAACTGAGCCACCCAGATGCCCTGCCACAGAGGTATTTCTCATGTGTCCACGGAGGTTGACATCTTTCCCCTGGGGACCTAGGCAGCTAGACTTGACCCTGTCTGGAGCAGTGCTGGTCACTGTGGTGGGTGGAAGGAGAGAGCGTCCAGGACTGCGCACGGCTGGCTGGGCTTCCCCCTGGAACAGATGCACAGCACGCCCACTCACATTTCATTGTCCACGGTGAGTCACAACTCCATGGGGTGTACCATCCTACCACAGGTCTGGGTGGGAATATATGGAGAACAGCCCTAAGACTCTGCTGCGCAGTCTTTGTATCTTAACAGAGGCCAATCCCTTAAACCAAATAAATCCATCTCTAAAGAGGAGATTTCAGGCAGCAATAAATAGCTGGATAAGGGGAGCAATCTTGAGGCTCTCTGTAGATCCCCTCAGATCCCGCCTTACAGCATCCTCTGCTGGCCCTCCAAGAACCGCCCCTCGAAGGCAATGCGCCCTCATCCTCCTGAGTGGAGGTGGGCAGATGCTCGTCTGTCCACACCCAGATGGGGTGTTTGCATGTAAGGTGAGAGACTCTGTCACTCCTTGGTTTCCTTTGAAGCAAATCCTGAAATAGCTCAGAGCAGCTCAGCCTTGCCTAAGTGAAGGGTGGCTGCCCAGTCCTCGGTGCTGTCCACAGGCCTGTGTAGGGGTCCCATGTGGTTAAGGACGTGGGACCCTCCCTGTGAGCTAGTCTTCTCTCCCTCTCAGGGAGGACGCCAGGTCTTCTATTTTGTCCTGAGTCAAAGAGACCTAGATTTGAAATCAGCTTCTGCCACTGTTTAGCTGGGTAACGCTGGCTTCTTAATTTTTCGGAGCCTGGTCTCCTCACCTGTAAAATGCGGATGGCAACACCTTCCTTACAGGGTTGCCGTGAGGATGAGATGATCCAAATGACCACGTCACTTACTAGCTGTGTGAACTTAGGTAAGTTACTTAACCTCTCTGTGCTTCTGGACTTATCTCCTGGGTTGTCTCATGAAGCTTTAGTGAGTGAACGTTTGTAAAGAGCACACAGCAGGGCCTTGGACACCCCGAGTACCCCTTACGTGTCGGCTATCACCACCAGGGCGTGTGAACTGGCTGACACGCAGAAGGCCTCCAGTACGTGTGACTCCTCTGCTCTCCTCCGTCGAGCCCACAGCTTTGGCGAAAGGAGTCTGTTTTCTCTGAAAACCAGAGTTCCAGGCAGCCCACTTAACTAGTTTTGAGTAGTTGGAAGTGGCCTTGTTTCACCTTCAGGCACCAGAAAAATAAAGTGACAGAGACACCTAGTGGGAGCTGGTGGCAAAGGCTCAAGCAAGCTGGCGCCTGGTGGGGGGCGGCCGGCCGTGGGCCCTGCCCCACCCTGGGGACCACAGGGCGCGGGGGGCCAGGCCTGTGCAGCCTTCAGCAGTTGGAAGACCTGCCTCCCGCCCTGTGGCTGGCCTTGCCCCGGGGGTTCAGCTCCCCCGAACAACAGCGCCCTCTGTCGGCCACCAAGTGAGCTCCCTCTGTTGGCCCCAGTCTGGGGCGGGGGGCGGGGGGGGGGGGGGAAGAGGTGAGGGACCCCGGGAGGAAAGACTTTGGGGAGCTGGCAGAAAACAGATCGACTCAGCACCTTTCCACTGTGAGATCTTGAACGAGCCATTTTTAAAAATATTTTATTTATTTATTGGAGAGAAAGAGAGAGAGAGGGAGAACGAGCAGGGGAGTGGCAGAAGGAGAAGCCGACTTCCCCGCGGAGCAGGGAGCCTGATGCGGGGCTCGATCCCAGGACTCTGAGATCATGGCCTGAGCCGAAGGCAGACGCTTAACGACTGAGCCACCCAGGCGCCCCTTGAATGAGTCATTTAGCCTCTCCGAGCTCCAGGTTCTTGGCTTGCAAAATGGAGTTGGTAACGGCCTCTGTCAGGGTGATTTCAAACAATGGCTGTGGAAAGTCAAGCACCATGTTGGCACACAGAGAGCACGAGAAAGGGTTAGGTATTGTTCTTGCTGTCATTTTTTTGGTAGATGAGGGTACATGAAGTAATTCGCCAATAAATCTACACAACATTGGAGCAGTTGGAAGCCACCATAGCTCCGAGCAGCCCGGAGAAGCTCTTTGGAGAGCCGTAATGGTTAGGGAGGCTTCGTGGGGGGGACAGAATCCCTTAGGAGCCTTTGGTGGCAGGAACAAGACCACCCCCCCACTGGCTGAAACAACTCCCAGGCTTTATTGGCTCAAATAACTCAGAAAGACTTGATCCAGCAGCTTGATGATTTCACCAAGGACCAGGCTCTTTTTGTAAAAAAAAAAAAATTATGGTGATATAAAACATACTAAAAGATCAAGAAAACAACATTTATCTTAGGAAATGAAATAATAAATATAGTTGAAGCTTCCTAGCCCTTTCCAATGATATTTCCCTTCACACTCTACCCCGCAAAGGGAACGAAGATCCTAAATTTAGTGTTTATCCTTCCCATGCATGCATTTTCATGATTACTATATACGTATGTATTCCTAAACAACATATGGTAGAATTGCATAGTTTAAAACTTTATATAAATATATCATCGAGTGCATATCCTTCTGAGACTTGTGTTTTTTCACATGTAATGTTAGCTTTTTGAGATGTTCCTGCTGATATGTGTAGAACTACTGTATTTTCACGGCTGTATAATATTCCATCCCATGAATATACCACAATGTATCCCTCCATTCTCCTCTTTCGAATTTCTTGTTATTATAAACAAAACATGCATGAATGTGTTTGAGATCTAGGTGTAGCTATATGGTTTGTCTTTTTATCTTCATTTGATGTCTTTGTATACACAGGAGTTTAAAAAAATTTTTTTTAGGTGGTTGGATGAACAAATATTTTTGTTTATGATTTATGTTTTCCAACTTTTGACCTTCTCTACCCCAAATTCGTAAAGATATTTGATATTTTATAAGTGAAAAGATGTAGGTCTTTAATTCAACTGGAATAGATTTCATGTATGATGTGAAGCTGGAATTCACTTTTATTTTTTTCATACCAATAAGGAATAAACTCAGCACCCTATATAGACTGGGTCAGCTTCCCTACAAGTTTATAATGCCATCTAGGTTGAAAAACAGGTTCTGTGCATGTCAGGATCTTTTATCTTGTATTCTTTTCCATTGTTTGGCTTTTTTCTGTTATTGCATCAATACCACAGTGTTTTAATTAATTTATACTATATTTTGATAGCTTCTAGATCATACCTTATTCATCTTCAACATTGTTATTATTGCCTCTTTGCTCTTTTTAATGAATTCCTTAGAAATTTCAGTTTGTTGAGTTCCATGAAAAACTGTACTGAAATTTGAAGGGAATTACATTGAATTTATAGAACTGACATATCTGAGATATTCTATTCATGAAAATGGTATTTCTCTCCACTTATGCAAGTCTTCTTTAAAAATATTAAAACATTTTATAACCTGCTCCCTAAAGTTGTTGCATGTCTCTTGTTAGATTTATTCAGTTTTTTTCAAAAAGATAAATCATGTCTCTTTCTAATGCTACATTTTAAAAAACATTTTGTTGCTAGCACATAAGAAAGCAATTGGTTTTGCATATTGGCGTTATATCAACAAAATTTCTTTTTTTAAAAAAAGATTTTATTTATTTATTTGAGAGAGAGAGACAGTGAGAGAGGGAACACAAGCAGGGGGAGTGGGAGAGGGGGAAGCAGGCTCCCTGCTGAGCCGAAGGCAGGTGTCCCTGTATCAACAAAATTTCTGAACTCTCAGTAATTCAATAATTAGTTTGTATATTCTATTGTTTGTTTGGGTTTTTTTAAGTGGGCTGTACACTGGGCCAATTTGGGTCTCAAGCTCATGACCCTGAGATCAAGACTGAGCTGAGATCAAGAGTCGAACGAACGCTCAACTGACTAAGCCACCCAGGCACCCCTATTCTATTGGGTTTTCTATATCATTTGCAAATAATTATAGTTTTGTTTCTTCCCTTCCAGTACTTATACCTGTAGTCATTTTTCTTTTTCGAGTGAATAAAAGTGGTACTAGTAGGATCCTTGTCTTGTTCTCGCTCCTAAAGGGAACCCTTCTAATGTTTTGCAATAAAAAATCTTTGGTGTAGCTTTTTGCTGGATACTTTAAAAAAAAATCATGTTAAGGGAGTTTTCTTTTATACTGATCTTGTTATGAAATTAAAAATTTTTTTCTTGGTCAGAGGTCTGGGTATGGCTTAGTTCGGTCCTCTGCTTAGGGTTTTTATAAGGCAGCAATTAAGGTGTCAGCAGGACCAGGCTCACCGAGTGAAGCATCCACTGCCCCGCTTGCGTGGTTGTGAGCGGCATTCAGTGCCTTGAACTATAGTTTGGCAGTTGGATTCTTCCAAGTCAGCAAGGAGAGAGAGAGTCTGCCAGCAAGATGGAGTCTTACGTAATGTAAGTGATCGTAGGAATAACATCCCATCACTTTTGCCATCTTTAATTGGTTAGAACCAAGTTACGGATAGCACCCACACTCAAGGATGGGGAACCACACAAAGGTGTAAATACGAGGGACCTCTTCAGAGTATGTTTGCCATAGAGTCGCCAATGGTTCATGTTCCCCTCCTAGACAAAATATATTTACTCCCCACCAACGTCCTTCAGAGTCTTGTCCCAGTATAGCATAAGCTCCAAGTCCAAAATGTCATTATCCTGATCAGATCCATATGTGAATACGGCTGGATGAAGGTCCTGGGGTATAGTTTGGTAAGTCCTTCTTCTGTGGACGTGTGAAACTGAAGAGACAAATTGCCTGCCCTCAACACACCCAGTATACACGGGTAGGACAGGCAAAGGGTAGTAACTATTGACATATTTATTCAAAAAGAGCAAAAATGGAAGGTACAAAGGAATTACTAGTCTATAATAGGTCTGAAATCCAGGCGCTTCATGATATGTGGTGATGTTATGACTCTGACAGACACTGGAATGTGTGCTTATGTATTCTTGTGTTTTCTAGACTATTCTAAGTAGGAGTGGGGTTTACATAATGCATTTTTATTTTATTATATTTTTTAAAGATTTATTTATTTCATTTAGAGAGAGAGTGTGTGTGTGCACATGAGTGGGGGGAGGAGCAGAGAGGGAGAATCTCTCAAGCAGACCCCTGCTGAGTGCAGAGCCTGACTCAGGGCCTGATCCCACAACCCATGAGATGATGACCTGAGTCAAAATCACGAGTCAGTCGCTTAACCGACTGAGCCACCCAGGCACCCCAGATAATGCATTTTTATCTATTAACTCTGTTCTCAGGAGTCGACTACTTTTATACCTACCTTTGGTTATACCTGCTATAATCCTGTGGTTTCATTATTGTATAATAAATTCTCATTTTGAAGGCTCAAAATTTTCTTCACATCTTACAGAAACACAAGAAGTAGGTAGCCTTTAAATTGTTTAAACAGCAATATGTTTAAACTTTTCTAGATTTTTTAAATGTTACACAACACAGTTCTTTATTTTATTTATTTTTTTAAAAAGATTTTATTTATTTATTTGACAGAGAGAGACACAGCGAGAGAGGGAACACAAGCAGGGGGAGTGGGAGAGGGAGAAGCAGGCTTCCCGCTGAGCAGGGAGCCCGATGCGGGGCTCGATCCCAGGACCCTGGGACCATGACCTGAGCCGAAGGCAGACGCTTAACGACTGAGCCACCCAGGCGTCCCAAGTTCTTTATTTTATAAGTTAATTATATTTTCTTCTAAAATCAAAGACAATGTGCTTACAATATATTTTTCTATATTTGAGAATGGATCATTGGCTTAAAAACAGGGATTAGAAGACTTCCCTTTTTCTCTTTCTTTCAAAAACTTTTTAAATTCACAGCTGCACTGTCTACCTTGAAAGAAGCTGAAAAAGATGAAACTGATATCAGAGAATCCTCGGACTCATGGAAAAGGAATATATTCTGAAAAAAAAAAAACAGATGAAGTTGTAAATAAAAAACGAAACTAGGAAAACTATTGTTCCTTGACTTTTGTCGATATTAATAATTTACTGTGTCTTATGCAACAGAACGTTTTGAATGTTGTTACGGCATCAGGTAAGTTGGGGCACGATTTCGAGACTTACCCTTCAGAGTTTAAGGAAAAAGGAACGGACTACTTTAAATGTAGACATGATAAGTTTTGAAAGGCCAAAATGTGTTTGTTACAGCTTTTCAGACTAGGGTTGAAAGAACCACTGAAGCATCTTGCAGGGTCAGTCATCACGTGGCGTTGGATGAAGAAACAGTAGATGAAAGGCTAATAACCACTGAATTATTTATTTGGACAAGACAAAAACATCCCCATATTGTTTCATTTTATACAGAGAGTAGAACATTTCAAATATATTAGTTTTTCTCTTTTTCAACAGAATTCATTTCAGTTTGGTGCCAGGAACCGTTCCTCATTCTAGGATTCACACTTTCGTAGCATGTACGCACCTAGGACAGCCCACAGAGCGCTGTTGAGCTCTGCAGAGTCACTCATTTTTATGGTGACCCCCACAACGTGCAGCAAACCCCTCTGCCTCTTTTCTTCTTTCCAAGACCATTCTGGCCCTGTTTGTACAAGCCTCTTTCGGCAGCTTCACTATTATCTCCTTGAGTCAGAAATCTGCTGTCTCCATCATCTTTTTTATGATCTTTGATTACTCTGTGAACTACTGGAATGACTTGTCCCTTGGACTTTATTTTTTTTTTAAAGATTTTATTTATTTATCTGAGAGAGAGAATGAGACAGAGAGAGAGAGCATGAGAGGGGGGAGGATCAGAGGGAGAAGCAGACTCCCCGCTGAGCAGGGAGTCCGATGCGGGACTTGATCCCGAGACTCCAGGATCATGACCTGAGCCGAAGGCAGTCGCTTAACCAACTGAGCCACCCAGGCGCCCCATCCTTGGACTTTAAAAACAACAGTTTCACCAGCTCAAATGGGTTTTCCTGGAAATGTGTCAGGTTCTCTCTCCTGGGGCCACATCCAATATTAACTCACCTAAAACAGACTTGGTGGGGGCGGCTTATTTGGGGGAAGACCCCAGGGGTGGGAAGGAGGGATTTGGGATAGTGCGACAGGGAGGGAAAAAGGACCAAAGGAGGATGTGCCATCAAGATGTGGGCAATGGGGACCTGCTCCGCCAGGATCTCTGCCAGGGGACAGAGGGCTGAAGGACAAGGAGGCTGGTGTCTTCCTTTGCTTGAGGGTCGCCCCTGGGGGCGTCAGCTTCCCTGCACTTCTGGGCTGCGCTTACCTGTGAGCTGAGAGGTACTGGAAAGAGCCCCAGGGCAGAAAGCAGGAAGAGGCCAGGTGCCCTGTGGAGGAGGCCCTGCGGGGTGGGCGGGGTCTGGGCCCACAGGGATCTGTCCTTTGTCCCTCGGACTGAAACCAGAGGTGGCCAAGGGCACAGGAAGCAAGCACTAAGGGCACTTGCTTGGCTCTGGTGTTGCTTGTTTCTGGTTAATCTTTCTGAAGGTAACTTAGGGTGGAGCTGGGCTGATTTGCCTTTTCCCTCAGGTTTAAAGCAGCCGCCTTCTCCAGGCCTGGGTTCTCCAGGAGGTTCAGGTGGGAGTGAGTAGGGGTTCTGGGAGGAGATGGGCTAGGGCATTTTTCCCAGCTCAAGGTCAGCTCAGCTCTGTCTCTGCAGCCACTTCTTGGTCGCTGAGCCACCAGTCTGGTGCCAGGAGATTTTCTGTTCCAGCCCCCACCCCCCCTTCCCAGCAGGCTGCGCTTTCCAGCAGGCTGCGCTTTCCAGCATGCTCTCTGTTCCACCTGCTGCGTGCCCATGTTTTCTGAGACCGGCTTCCTCTAGGCCCCTCCCGCCACCCAAGTTTTCTCTTTCACTTAGAGTGTTCCTGCCCTGAGCAGTTTGGTTTCTGTTTCCAGTAATTCCCCTCAAAGCCACGCTCCTTCCTGCTGGAATGAATTGTTTGCTGGCCTTTTCTGAGATTCCCAAGGGCTTACACGCCCCGCCCCACCCAGACCCTCACTTACTGTAGCTGTCCCCTCCAAGCGCCAGCCCGTGGGACGTCTCTTCCCCACACGGGATGCATGCAGATCTGCTGGCCCGGTTTCTGCTCAGGATGGCGTCTTCCTCTTGTGGGGGTGAGCATTTTGGGGGGAGGGAGCGGATTTTCATTTTTTTGGCCACCTCCTGTTGTGGCTGGTTTGATGAGTTTGTCCATATCCCAGAGTTTGATAATCTCCTGTCTCCTAGTTTGGTCGAAGAGGTTATTATGTAGGCTTTTTGTTATTTGTTTGGTTCTGTTTAGGGAAAAGGAGAATAGTGGATTCCCTCAGGAGTTCACATTTTCTTAATTTATGGAAATTTCATGACTGTCGTGGAATCGATGAAGGGCCTCCATGAAGCCCCAAGTTCCCTGGAACAGTTTGGAAACCACGGATCTCTCTAAACTCCTCACTTTACAGATGAGGAAATGGAACCCAAAGAAAGGAAAGGGACCTACGCCAAAGCACACACAGAGTGGAAGATCTAAGGGGGAGCTCTCCTATCTTGGCACCTAGAATAGTACCCTTTTCTAGCACAAGGACCTGTCCTCTGGACCTTAACCAGAATGTGCTTACCAGTTGTTTAAGGAAGTGCTTCCCAAGTGCTTTCAAGATGCTCTTTGAAAAGTAGGTTACAGTGTTCAAGTCATTTGGGAAACACCAGCCTCTAATTCTCTCCAGCTGACTCTCATAGCATGTTAGTGTACTTAAGGCTCTGAGAAGTCCCTCAGTATAGAAAACTGCTTATCTTTGCTTAATCCAGGTTTTCCTAATTTTTAAAATCTACTGTTCCTAGATCTACTTACATTCTGCTCTGAAGCCCAGAAAAGGCTTCTCTCAAGGAACGAATCTCTACGGAGGGATGGGGAGTAGGGTGGAGAGGACTCAGGCATCACCCCAGCAGGTGCAAGACTTCAGGTGTCCTCACCCGCAGCACTTCCTTCGCCGAGGAGGAGGTCGGCTAGCCTCTCTGGCCGGTGCAGGGATGAGGCGTGAAGGAGACGGAAGAGGGGAAAGCAGCATGACAGAGGCGGATGGTGCAGACCTCAGACTGCCCAGTGGAATTCTGTGCCCTTGGTACTTTCTGGGGGCGGAGGAGCCCGCCGTAGCCTGGATGTGGCCCGTGGTCTGGAAGCAGGAGAGACTTCCTTGCTTATTCTCTCATCGTTTTGCCTCCTTCCTCTCATCTGAGTCCACTTCCAAATCTTGTGGTTTTCCCCATTGGTATGTTTGCTCCTCTCCACTCCTGCCGACCCCTCTCTTCACCTCCCTCATCTGCCTCTGGGCAGAGTTCCCCTGGCACAGACTCTGCCCTTGGGCTGCACACACATCAGCCTGGTCTTCCTTGAAGTGTGTGCGTGCGCGTGTGCGTGTGCGTGTGCGTGTGTGACTACCCAGATCTTTCACAGGAGGACTTGCAGTACTTCATCTTCCCCCTCTAACGTCTGGGAGTTGACAGACCCGATTACGCTCACAACCACCAGAGGGCGCAGCGATTCCGGAGTGCGTGGCCGGCTCACACCGTCTTGGAAACAGGCAACGTTTGAATCTAAGAAGTGCAGAGCGGAATGTGGTAGCTTCGGTCACCGTTTGTGACCACTTCATCTCCTTTGTTCCAAATGCAGTCAAAGTCTGCTCTAACAAAACTCAGGGTCACATGATTTCGGTTATGCCTGGGCCTCATTCCAGCCCTTCAACTATGTGCAGGCACATAGCGTTCGGGAAAGGTTTTCAGAAATGGGCATTCTGGTGGGGTCTCCTTTATAATGACAAGATGGCCATTTGGCCACAGCACAAAGCAGGGCTGAGGAAAACGGGGTATGGGCTAGGGCTCTTCTGGGCGGGGCTCCTAAACATGGGGCTCTGCCCCGGGCTCCGATGTTATTTACCACGTGAATCCGTGACTTAGTAATAAAGAGAGTGGGTGTTCATGGAGCACCTACTATGCCAGCAAATTTGCCTGGCACGTGATAAATATTATCTCTCATCCTCGTGATAAACTTGCAAGACAGGTATTCTCATTTGACAGATATAAAAGTTGATGCGCAGTGATGGTGAATGATGCGCCCAGAGTTACACAGCCTGCCAGGGGTGGAGCGACGAATCCATCTCCAGGTGTGCTGAACTACAAGCTGGGTGATTTTCCGTTACTTGTACTTTTCTCCCCATTTGATGTTTCGGTCTCTGTCCATCTTTCATGATAAAATTCACACCAATCTTCCTGTTTTATTCAGGCTAGGCTACCTGTTGTAACAAATAGTCCCAAACTCTCAGTGGCTCAACAAGATAAAAATCTTTACTGCTCAGGTCCAAGTCCACTGCAAGTCAGACAGGGGCGTCTCTCCACACAGCCAGTCAGGGACCGGGCATCTCCCATCCGAAGGAGCTGCTGTCTTCAGAATGCGGCCTCGGAGGTCTCCACAGGTCAGTCAAGCGATGGAGGGTCACACCAAGAGCTCTGTGTGCACCAGACCTGGACGCAGCCCACGCCACTTTCCATTTGTCTGAATGAGATCAGTTGGTCCCAATCGAACTTCAGGGGGGCTGGGACATGCGGTTTAGTCCTGTGCCCGCAAAGAAGAGAAAATGGGTACTGTGAGCACTGCCTCTCTGACCTCCCCCTCTCTCACAAGACTGTACTGAGGATGAAATGAAACAAACTCTGTCAGGGTGCTTTACCCAGACGAGAGATTACGATGCCTTACAGCTGGAAGGAAGGGGCTGGGAGAGAGAGATCGCAGCTGGGGGTGTATGTTCAGGAGTCTTCTGAACTCATGTAAGTCTTTCACCCTCTGCCTCACATGTTTATTTCCAGCATTCATTCATTCATTCACTCGCTCATTCATTCATTCCCCAACAAATCGTTCGATGCCTTGAGTACTGTGCCACATGTTGGTGTATGTGATAGGTGTGATGTTTTAGCCTGAAGAAAATCCTCTTCTGGAGCTGGTGTTGGTGTTAGGAAGGAGGAGTTGCCACCTGCTCCGAAGTGGAAGTGGTCTCATGTAATTGACCTGCCCCACGTGGCTGGCTGGGCTATATGATGAGGGTCTTTGCTTCAAGGATCGGTCAGCATTGGTCTTTTTGCTGGCAGGTTGGACCATCAGCAATCACAGCCTGGGAAAAGGGAGCCCCTGTTTTTGGACTTTTGTGTAACCCACATCCTTGTCACTTTGACCCCTCTGTTCACAGACACACTGAGCAAATGCTGCGGTATTTGAGGAGAGAGGTTGGGTGACAGGCTGAGGATGGGCCATCCTGTCCAGCTGCTGGCGGACAGCCCCAGGTGGGTAGATGCTCTCGGGCACTAATATGAGACCCAATGATGCATCCACGGGCTTGGGGACCCATGTCCACAGGTCCCTCCACATGTCTCTTCCCCAGATTGCCTTGTCTCTGATCCCCCACTCTGTTCCTTCCAGGCCCTTGACAACTGGCCAAGCCACCCAAATACAGGTGCAGGTCTGCCTCAGGTTTCCCCTCCCTCCACCTGAAGAGGAGGGCCAAGCGCCCTGGTTCCAGCTGGGTTCACTGGAAGACTCACCTTTTACTACCACATTGAAGGGTCTCTCTTGATTTGGGCAACAATGCCGCCGCCATCCTATTCTGTGAACCAAGCCTGAGTTCAGTGAGGTGGAGGGCGCCCCCGAGGAGGCTATGGTATGGATCAAGGGAGAGTCAGCAGTGCAACAGAAAGAAGCGAAGTGAGAGTCTGGGTAGCTCTTTTTATAATTTACTGGATCTTTCTGGATCTGCTAAAAGCTACATCCAAATATTCCACTTCCATTGCATGATAGGCTGCTGGTGTGGAGGTCCAAACTTAAGTCTTTGTAGGTTAGGTAACAACCCAGCTTGCACTGGGAAATCAGATTGCGGGGGAATGGGGTGTCCTGTGGTCGGCTGCTGAGTCCCAGTCAGAGTCCGTATTATGCCAGGAGCTGCTTTTCAAACAGTATGGATCTCTACCATAGTGCATGGCCTTGTTCTAGAATCTGCCGGCTCTGGGCTGTGACCTTTCTATTGAGGACTGCACATTCTTATCCAGCGCAGATATACCTAAAGAACCTTTTGATCTGTTGGTCACATGGCCCAAGAAACAGAGTACTTGGAACCATGAGTTGGACTTGTTGCCTATACAAAACTGGTGGTTTTCTGAGTCATCAGAGAAATGGGACTATGTTGCCTTCAAAACCCAAAGAAACTCCAGGCATTATGCCTCTGTCCTAGTGATGTAAGATGCAAGGTGCAGCAATTTGTTCTTTGCCTTCGGGGGGATGTCCCCACATATCCCAGACAAGTGGAACTCTATAAAACTCACCAATCTGCTGTGCTTCTGTGTCTTTGTGGAGCCCATCTCCCACTTTCTCCCATGCGTGCGTCTCAGGGCACTTGGGATAGTTATCAGTTTCTGTTCAGTTCCAAACAGCATGATGTCACCAATACAGTGGATCAGTGTGATGTTCTGCTATGTCATGACAGAGAGCAAGAGAGTTAACCTAGCCCTGAGGCAAGAGTGTGAGTGTCCTTTTTAATTAGGATAAACTTCCTCTGACTCCTGCAGCTGATAGGTTGGCAGGCACTGTGTTGATCTGCCCCAATAAGGATCCGTATTCAGACCAGCAACTAAAAATGGAGTTAATCTTAGTAGCTCACTGTTGCGGGTGAATTGGATGAGAATACAATACACTGTTCTCATCTTTCAAATCTTTGATGGTGGTGCTGATCCCTGAAATTCTTCCAGAAGTGTCATATTGCTTCTGATTCATCTTGAGGGCTGCTGTGGGAGATAGGGACATTTCAGGGCTTCCACTTGGCCCTTCCTACCATAGTGACCCTTACTCCACAAATCAGACCAATACTGTGAGGGGTCTCCCAGTGCTAACCACATGCTAAGTGTATCTGTCCTAACTATATACTTGGGAACTGGACAGATAACCGCAGAGTGGATTTGCAGATGCACTAGGTCCTCTATGAGGCTAACTTTGGTCATTGATCAGGACTCAGGGTCCTGGGATTCCCTTCCCAATGTGGTCTGTGTCTGTGAATTGGCCAAGAGGTGAGGGCCATCATTTTTCTTTCGGTGGTTAATGTCCTTCTATTTGTTGAATCTAGGTATTTTTCTTCGTGTATAAATACAACATTCTAATGGCTGTCCACCTATCTTGCCCCTAGGAGAGATCCCTATGGACCAAGAAACCCTGACTGCCACTCCAGCGTGCTGCCTATTAAGTAATTATGTTCATTGTGCCTCTGAAAGCCACTAACGAACTTCTCCAAGATGCTCCTATCTTCCTCAGTAATATGATTTTTACTGCCGTAGTAAAGACTGTGTCCTCTGAGTGGTAGGTTCTGGGACCATACATGATAGATCCATGTTTAATGTTCCCACTTTCCTAAGTCTTCCGATCTCTTCTTTAACATGATGCCAAGGTAATTCTGGCAACTCCTTTTGTTCACTGTATCACCTTATGGAATCTAGGCTTCAAGTAGCCACCCCAGCAAGCTATGCAGGTGTTCTTGACACAAAGGAAAGTGTGAATCCTAAATGGGTTATTCCCTGTCAGTCATTTCCCTTCTATCCAGCTCTATATGCTGCCAACCCTGGGCTGGCATCCTTGATACTCACTTCCATTTATGTTCCCAAGTTCTCACTAGCTTTGTGATTTCTTACCTATCTAGACAATTTCTCCCTGAAACAGGGATTTTGCTCCTCCGTCTACTCTTGCTGAGACCCGACTTGGGCTGTTAGTCTGGAGACAATGAAGGTTGTGGGATGTTAGCTTGTCTTCAGGAGGATAAGCATCATCTTGTGAAGAAACTGCTTTAGGTGAAAGCACTGCATATCCTCCAGGCAAGGAGAGGCTAGTCTTCTCTGGTGAAGGTGAAGGTGCTGCCTCTTTGGGAAGGACAGCAGAAGGGGATTCGGAGTTTTGAGGTGCTCAGGCTCCTGCACCTAAATGTCTCCATCCCAGTACTCAGAGTCCTCCACTTTCCCTATCAGGGCTCTGACTTGACATAGAATATTTGCTGAGGCTCTGCTTTTCATCTTCATGGCAGCTCTGGATGCCCAGAATCTAGAATCTAGGATCTAGAATCAGATCCTTGCCCTGATTTTCAGCACAGTCTTTCCTGAGGCTCCCCGAAATAAAGATTTCCTTTAATACTGCCTTAGAGGGCATCTGGATGTTAGATCATGCCTTACATTGGCTTCCCTGAGCTGTTATTTATTTAAATATCTTTCATGCTGTAATAAGTATCTATCCTAACCCACAATCCACATAATTAGCATTGTTTCTATGTTGATTGAATGCCATGACCCCTTGTGCTCCCAGGGCCTTGACCTCCCTCCATCTGCACTCTATCCCTATTAACTACAATGAAAGTTGAAGAAATCATGAGTCTACCAAATGCTAAGGGGTTATTACTATTCCATGTACCTCTAGCAGGGGAGTACCTATGACTTTCAGACGGGCGGCCCATTCACCTCCCTAATTCCATCTTGAAGATTGTTTTCTAGAACCACTCTTGGACAGGTGTTTTAACTGTGTCTTCTAAAGATTTTATTTATTTATTTAATTGACAGAGAGAGAGAGAGACAGCGAGAGAGGGAACACAAGCAGAGAAGTGTGAGAGGAAGAAGCAGGCTCCCCGCTGAGCAGAGAGCCCGATGCGGGGCTCGATCCCAGGACCCTGGGATCACGACCTGAGCTGAAGGCAGACGCTTAACCGACTGAGCCACCCAGGAGCCTCTTAACTGTGTCTTCTAGAAAGCAGAGCTTTAGCCGAGGATTCAAGTGCTGATGTGATATTTGCAAATTGCAAGACCTTTGAGATGAGGGTGAAGAAGAATGGAAAGTGAGTCAAAGGAACACGTGAAGCTACGCAGCATGTTACTGGGCTGGCCATTGCTCCGCAACAAGCCCCCAAAAGCCACGCAACTCAATTGGCGGGCATGCTCATGCTGCACATTGGATTTTCTCTGAAAGAATTTCAAGGAGAAACGAGTCCTCAGAGTAGTCCACAGAAGGGGGAAATGAGAAATTTGTCATGTGGCTCCCTGTCACCTTCCATTTCCTAGCGGATGCTCAGCCCCCTGTGTCACCTGATCTGCCTCCACGGCAGTGGCTCAGAGGGCCAGATGCCATGCTCTGACCGTGGCGTGTTATCCAAGTCTAGACCTCAGTATGGTACACAGTACCAGCTGGCCACGTGGCCTGGGGCGTAGCCAGGGTTCCTGCCCCCTGGGGGAGGTTGTTAAAAGCAGTGGCAGGATCATGGTTCAGGAGACAAGCAGAACCTTGGGCAGGAAGCCAGAAAGGCAATCCAGAGAGGCACCAGGTCAGGGTCAGCTACACTGTGTTTCAGGAAAAGGGGGACAAATCAGGTGCACGTCACTCAAGAATTCTTACCTTGGAGATAATTTCATCAGATACAGTTTTGTTACTTTCAAGGGCTCTACACATTATAAAGGAAAGCTTAAGTGTGTGAACGTCGTCCATGAAAGCATCCAGGTGTGCCGAGTTTCATGCCATAGCCCTGCTCCTGACAGAAAGGAAGAACTCCGTGTTTCAGGGAGCCTGGTGGGTAACTCTTTTGTAAGGCGTGAATTCCTTTGTGGACGTGAACGATCATGTTCTAATTAGCAGTGGGAAGAGATCAGTTTCAGCAAAAGAGGTTTTCGTAAAGGTTCACATTGTCCAGTATTGTATCTTGAACTAAAAAACCTAATTTATTATTTACTCAGGCCAGATGGACTTTTCACTCACTGAAGATAAAGCCAGTGGCTCCCAGATATTGTATGTTCTCAAATGAAGTTGAAGGGCTTGCGTTTTTCTCACGAGATGGCTCCCGGCTGGCAGCTGTGGGCTGGGCTTTAGGGAGCCGGGACAGTGAAGGAAAACCAGACTGAAGCTGTCACCGATTTCTGATGACCTCAGGACATGCCAATGACAAAATGCTGATGAATTAAGCTGATTTTGCTCAACAGTGCCAAACTTTTAGGGTTAATGGGGTAAGATAATCATTGTAGTGACAGGTTCATATTTCCGCAGTAGAAAAATAATACTTTTCAATGTGCAAATATTGAGGTGCTTTCTCTCCCTTCCTTAGATTCATTTCCTCACAGAGGGAGTCACACCTTGAGATTTGATTGACAACCACCGGTGAACAGTGTGATGTTAACCTGAAATACTCTCAGAGCCTTGCTACTTTAATAAGAGTCACGTATCGCTCTCTGAGCACCTGCTAGCACACTGAGGTCTATTTCAGACTTGGAAGCCCAATTCTACCTATAACTGAAGGTATGCAAGGAGCCCTATTTTCTGCCCTGGCTGTGCCTTATCAATGAGGCTTCTGTCTTCCCTGTGTTGACTCTTTGCCTGGATTTATGGCTTCTTGACTCTCACCTGCTAGATCTGGGAATCTGTCTCAATGGCTCTCAAACTCAACTGTGAATCAAAACAATCCCAGGAGGTTTAAAAAAATATAGGTACCTAGGATTATATCCTCACTGGTTCAGAATCTCTAGGCATGGAGCCTGTGGATCATCTGTAATTTTGAGAACTCCTTATGTAATTCTAATGCTGCAGTGCCATCATTAGGCTATGGTTAGGAATGGCCTATTTTTACCTGGGCTGATCCTTTTCAGTTACTTTCTGGATTCAGTGTTTGAGGCCATTTCTGGATCCCTCCTTGGTAAATGTGGAATCCTCTTGGGTTTAATAGAGAAAGGGACATTTATCCATACATTCAGCTATGTATGTATGTATGTATTTATGTATCTATCCATCCTTCCATCTACTGAAATAATATTTATTTATTTTTGGTGCCTGCTACAGGGATCACTGTTAGTAGAAACCCAGAGGGCTACTTGAGCCTTAACTTGTGGGATGCTGTATCAGTTACTGAGTCTCTGTTAGTCTGTGATTTCCTTGGAGGTAGGGACCACATCTCTCCACATGGTTATGTCTTAACTAACTATTTAGTGCCAGAATTGTGGAAAGTGCTTGACATTTTTTGTTATTGAAATGGAATGAAAATAGGGTTACAAACTCATGGTCTCTATCTGTTCCAGCATACAAACAACACAGAAGTACTGGACGTCTTCCAAAGGCCCATTTCTTATAGGCAGGCCTTCAATAAGCTTTAATCTGCTGATGTGAAGTCGGAAAGTCAGGGTAAGTCACAGTGGATTCTTGGGAGACACTAGAATGGTAGATGTTAATGGGAGGAACAGTTGGGAGTGGAAACTTTAATTGAGGTAGACTGGAATATATTTTAACCTAGAAGGACAGCCTTTCCTCTCTTATAGCAGTTATGCTCTGCCTTAATGCTGCAGAATTTTGGAATGATGAACACCTGAGCAGCCCTTCTGTGCTGCATGGGCTTGGTCTGGCTTTCTGATTGAGGATGGAGGGTAGAGGACAAGGTGCAGTCTGATTTGGAGGGTGTGGAAGAGGGCTCTACAGAAATGCAAGATGCTCTACGTCTGTGTACTTTATCTGTTAGAGCTCTTAGCATATTAATCAGAGTTATTTTAAATTACTGGTTTGATAATTCCAACATCCCTGCCATATCTGAGTCTGGTCAGTGTAAGCAGAAAGATGGAAATTCTAAGAAAGAATAAAAAATAAATGCTAGAGATCAAAACTACTGTAACAGAAATGAAAAAGGCCTTTGATGGCATCATTAGTAGGCTGGACATGGCCAAGGAAAGAATCTATGAGCTTGAGGAAATGTCAATAGCAACTTCCAAAACAGAAAAACAAGCAGAAAAAAGACTGAAAAAAAGGGGGCACCTGGGTGACACAGTAGGTTAAGCATCTGACTTTTGGTTTTGGCTCAGGTTGTGATCTCAGGGTCATGAGTAATGCTTCATGCTCAGCATGGAGTCTGCCCCTCCCCTCTCTCTAAAATAAATAAAAGTAAATCTAAAAAAAAAAGGCTGAAGAAAAAAAAAAAAGAATATCCCAGAACTGTGGGACAACTATAAAAGGTATAACATACATGTAATAGGATTACCAGAAGGAGAAGAATGAGAGAAAGGGACAGAAGCAATATTTGAAGCAATAATGAGCAAGAATTTCCCCCAAAGCAGTGTTGGACACCAAATCACACGTCCAGGAAGCTTAGAGAACACCATCAGTATAAATGCCAAAAGCAAAACAAAACAAACTACACCTATACCTAGGCATATAATATTCAGACTGTTGAAAATCAAAGAGAAAGAAAGAAATCCTGAAAGAAAGAAGCCAAGGGGGACGGGGAATACCCTACCTATCAAGGAGCAAAGATAAAAATTAATTAAACTTCTCAGAGACCATGCAAGCAAGAAGAGAGTGGAATGGCATATTTAATGTATTGAGAGGAAAAAAGCTACCTATTTAGAATTCTGTACCCTGCAAAATTAGCTTTCAAAAGTGAAGAAGAAATAAAGACTTTGGACAAAAAAAAATATGAGGGAATTTGTTGCTAGTGACCTGCCTTGCAAGAAATGTTAAAAGAAGTTCCGCAGAAAGAAGGAAAATTATAGGTCAGAAACTCAGATGTACATTAAGAAAAGAAAATCATCAGAAAAGGTATAAATGAACATAAACATTTTAATTTTTCCTATTCTTTTTTTTTTAAGATTTTATTTATTTATTTGACAGAGAGACACAGCAAGAGGGAACACAAGCAGGGGGAGTGGGAGAGGGAGAAGCAGGCTTCCTGCTGAGCAGAGAGCCCGATATCGGGGCTCCATCCCAGGACCCTGGGATCATGACCTGAGCCTAAGGCAGACGCTTAACGACTGAGCCACCCAGGCGCCCCTAATTTTTCCTATTCTTAATTGCTCTAAGAGATTCAGCTAACAGCTATTCAAAATAATAGTAGCAACAAAACAATGCATTTGATTATATATGTAAGCTTCTATACAAGTGAAATTAATGACAACAATGATGCAAGGGTAAAGAGGAAGGAATTAGGATTATCTTGTATTATAAGGTACTTGCACTGCCTGTGAAACAGTTTAGTGTTATTTGAAAATGGACCTTGATTGTTTGTAAATGTATACTGCATACTCTAGGGCAACCAGTTAAAAAAGTTAGAAAAAGAAGTATAACATGTATATTAATGAAGGAAAGAAAATGGAATCATACAAAATGTTCAGTTAAAACCACAAAAGACAGAAAAAGAGAGGAAGACAAAAAAGGAATTAAAGACAACCAATAGAAAACAGTAAAAAATACAATAGACATTCATCTAACTATATAAATAATCACTTTAAACATCAATGGTTTACATGCACCAATTAAAAGACAGACTGTCAAAGTGGATTAAAAAATAAGACTCAACCATACGTTGTCCACATGCAACACACTTTAAATATAAATATGCACAAAAGCAAAGGGATGGAGAAAGATACACCATACAAACACTAATCAGGAATTACTAGAGGCATTACATAATGATAAAAAAGTCAGTTCCCCGAGGAGATATAGCACTCTTTAATGTTAACGAGCCTAACAATAGAGTGTCAAAGTATGGGAGGCAAAACTAGTAGGGTTGCAAGGAGAAATCCAGAAGCTCAGAAAACACTAGCAGGATAAATGCAAAAAAAAAAAAAAAAAAAAAGATGAATCCACTATTATTACTGGAGACTTTAACAACTTTCTATCAGAAATGGACAGATCCAGTAAGCAGAAAATCAGTAAGGACATAGTTGAAATCACCAGCACCACCAATCAACTGAATATAATTGACATCTATTGACTATTTCATCTAACAACAGCAGAATACACATAACTCTCAAGCTCACGTGAAACATTCACCAGGATAGATCACATTCTGGGCCAGAAAACAGAATTTAACACATTTAAAAGAATAGAAATCATGTGTCTGCTCTCAGACCACAGTGGAATTAAACTCGAAATCAATAACAGAAAGATAGCTGAGGAGTTCCAAAATAATAGAGATTAAACAGATGGGTCAAGGAAAAAATCTCAAAAGAAATTTATGAATATTTTGAACTAAGTGAAAATACAAGTACAACTTAGCAAATTTGTGGGATATAGTGAAAGAAGTGTTTACTGGGAAATTTTAGGAATACTATAATATACTATAGTATTTATGGTACTGAATAAAGATCTAAAATGAATAATCTAAGCTTTCACTTTAGGAAACCGGAAAAAGAAGAGCAAATTAAATCCAAAGTAAACAGAAGAATAGAAATAATAAGAATTAGACCAGGGGCACCTGGGTGGCTCAGTTGGTTAAGCGACTGCCTTCGGCTCAGGTCATGATCCTGGAGTCCCGGGATCGAGTCCCGCATCGGACTCCCTGCTCGGCAGGGAGTCTGCTTCTCCCTCTGACCCTCCTCCCTCTCGTGCTCTCTGTATCTCATTCTCTCTGTCTCAAATAAATAAATAAAATCTTTAAAAAAAAAAAAAAAAAGAATTAGACCAGACATCATGAAATTGAAAACAAGGAATCAATAGAGAAAATCAATGAAACCAAAGGTGTTTCTTTGAAAAGATCAATAAAACTGATAAACTGCTAGCTAGACTAAGAAAAAAAGAGAAGACACAAAAACTGGTATCAGAAATAAAAGAGGGGGCATCACTACAGATCTCAAGGACATTAAAAAGATAATAAAGGAACACTGTGAATAACTCCATGTTCACAGACTTGATAGCCTAGTTGAAACGGACTAATTCCTTGAAAGACACAACCTGCTAAAACTCACACAAGATGAAACAGATAATATATCTGAATCAACAATTAACTGATAAAAAATTGAGTCAATAATTAATAAGCTTCCAAAAAAGAATGCACAAGGCCCAGATGGGTTCATTGGTGAATTCTTCCAAAGCCTAAGGAAGAAATTATACCAACATTCTATAATCTTTTCCAGAAGATAGAAGCAGAGGGAATATTCCCTAACTCATTCTATGAGGTCAGCATTACCTTAATACCAAAAGCAGATGAAGATGTTACAAGAAAAAAAAAACAAAAACAAACTATAAACCAATATATCTCAGGAACATAGATGCAAAAATTCTCAAAAATATTAACAGAAATCTAACAATTTATAAAAACAATTATACACCATGGCCAACTGGGATTTATCACAGGGATGTTTCACAATCATGAAAGAAGTGGTTGATAAGCTGGACTTCATTAATATTAAATACTCTGGCTCTGTGAAAGATACTGTCAGAAGAATGAGAAGACAAGTCACAGACTGGGAGAAAATACTTGCAAAGACATATCTGATAAAGAATCCAAATATACCAAGAAACTTAAAACTCAACAATAAGAAACCCAAATTAATTAATCCAAGCCCAGTTAAGAAATAGGCAATTGACCTTACCAGACACATCACCAAAGAAGATATACTGATGGCAAATAAGCATATAAAAGATGGCCATTTAGGAAGACCCTTTGGTAGTTTGTCACAAAACTAAACATACTCTTACCATATGATCCAGCAATAGCACTCCTTGGTATTTACCCAAAGGAGTTGACAACTATGTCCACACAAACACTTGCACACAGGTGTTTAGGGAAATTTTATTCATAACTGCCAAAACTCAGAAGCAACCAAGATGTTGTTCAGTAGGTGGATGGAAAAATAAACTGTGGTACATCCAGACAATGGAATATTATTCAGCACTAAAAATAAATGAGCTTGTCAAATCATGAAAAGATACAAAGGACCCTGAAATACATATTACTGATGGTCACATACTGTATGATTCCAATTATAGGACATTTTGGAAAATCTAAAATTATGGAAACAGTTAAAATATCAGTTGCCAGAGGTTGGGGGGAGAGAGGGATGAATAGGTGGAACACAGGATTTTTAGGGCAGTAAAACTATTGTGTATACCATAATGGTGGGTACATGCCATTATACATTTATCAAAACCCATAGAATGTACAGCACCAAGAGTGAACCCTAATGTAAGCTATGGACTTTGGGTGATAGTGATGTGTTGATGTAGGTTCATTGTGACAAATGTTCCCCTGTGGTGGGGGAGGTTGATACTTCGGGAGGCTGTGCATGTGTGGGGACAGCAGGTATATGGAACTCTCTAGTTTCTGTTTGGTTTTGCTGTGAACCTAAAACTACCCTAATAAAATAAAATATTTTAAAAAGAAAAGAAATCTGGAATTTTCACATCCTCCATGATCC